AGGCAACCGACGATACGGATTCGGCGTTTTTGACGGAAAATATCTGATTTGAATTTAAATTCGCTTTAAAATTATTATGGAGGCTTTTTTTGCAAAAAAATTAAGTATATCAGTGTAATGTTTGCCATAACTACTTTCTATATATCAACATTAAGAAAAAAAGTGAAAACACCCTATTACCACTGTGTTTACTCAACCAGAGATGTGCGATGAAATCATTTGAAAATTAGTTATCATTAGGAATTTCCTATTAATTTCACAACAATTAAGTTTCGCTGTGTTTATTTTGGTATCTTCAGGGCAATTTTATGTATCTTGTTCTGAATATGTCAAAAGCAAATATTGCAAAGCGTCGACGATTCGAAAAAAATGAAGTTTTCTTTCACTCCGAACCAAATCCAGTCTGTTCAGACGAATCGTAAAAAGTAGCATCAAAACATCTTTATTATCTTGAAAGTTTTAATTTTTAAGACAATTTTACCATCTCCTATATTTACAGGGTGTTTGTTAAAGATGTCCGAATATTTAATGAAGTGATTCCACATGGACGTTATGGATTCATTTGTAAACATTATGAGAAGAGCAAATTTGTTTAAAAATCTTTGACAAACTCAGATATTTCCGTGAGGTTTAGTAGCTAATTCAGTGCATTGCCGATTTTTGCAAGTTTTTTAATTACAATTGGTAAAAGGATCTCTAGGCCTCACCGAATGAAAGCGAAAATTCCCTAATCTTTCGAATGTTTCATTTGCAAAAAACCTCTATCGGAGAACCATTTGTCCAATGCGTGTTTCCCATAACTTTGGCACCAAAAAAGTGTTTCTCTTTTAACTGGCATTACATACCATAAAACCTTTCCAAGCGGTTTTGCGAATATTATTTACTTAATTTGTGTTATTTGCAACACCTGTTGAACGACATGTTCTCAGTGTATTCCTCTCCTTATGCAAGTAATAACACATAAGGAAATTAGATATTCAATTACATAAAATGCTTTGTTTCAATTGCGCAGCGGTGTTGTTTCAGCTTCCACATGAAACCCAATGCTTCATATAAGGGCAAGCGGATGTGCCATCATCTACAATAGATCGTAGCAGAAGCTTTAGTGCGAAGTTAATCTGGTTCAATCATTTAATAATAAGCCTTATAATAACACTTAACCAATTCAAAAGCCGTTTGTGGGTCATCAATATCAAACTACACTCGGCTTAAGCCTTTATTAAATGTACCTACGAGCTTTGAAACCATGGCATGTCTGAGAAACCATTAGGTAACTAACCCATAATTATTAAATCTAGGTCGTTCGGCTTTTCGTAGGTGGCGCATAAACTAATAACGAATAAACATTGCAATTATCTCGTCCAATTTGCTGACAATTTTTATCGTACAGTTCAAGTAGCATTGTTTAGGTGATTAAAATACTCGGTTGTTGATAATGAAAGTTCGCCGAAGCAAACTATTAAGGGAACAAAGAGTGAATAGAACCAAGTAGATGAAGCAACGAATCACCTATAAAGGTGAAAAGATACAGATCTGGACATCCCAGATTTTAAATTTGAATCTCAATTAGAAGAACCGGCTGGAATTTTGAAGTGCGACACAAAGAACCTTTGAAGATGTTGAGACGGATGAAGATAAATAGCAAAAGACCGATGGTTTCTTAGATATTATTTGCTGCCTTGAGCGGAGATTAATTGAGACAGAAGAATCTTTGAAGAAATCCAGTTGGTTCAACACTAATGAGAGTGATACAACGCACATCCCAACAGAAAGACATATTTTGTCCAATTCCAAGTCAAATCTGGATTAATTTTAAGCCAAAATGTTCGCATTTTTTAAAATAGATCCATATCTATCTAATATAAAAAAATGTTGGTGTTAAATGTGTGCAGCAATTTTAGATACATTTAAGAAGATACGGAAAATCTGTCTTTATTTCCAGTGATAGCCTTTGAGTTTTAACCCCTTTGAGAGATCATAGATGATAAATATATCCAATTTGTGGGCGTTCGGTCGGAACGCTATAATTGAACTGAGCGATTATTAGTTTGATAAGAATGTGAAGAAATACTTATGAAACAGCATTGTAGCTTTTGCATAACATTTTTAAATAGACTCGTTTTATCACTGCCTGATAGAGAATATTACACTTTTATTCAAATTGCAAAAATTGTTTAAATTCGTAGGTGTTTAATAGAATCGAGATTATTAATTCGTACACTTATTTATTACAAGCAAAGTACGTTATTAAACAAACAAAATAGACTTGTCCGCTCATCATTCACACATTGTTTATCTCTATACTGTCGATGCAAATTGATTATTGCAATTTAGTCAAGGTCGATTTTTATGTATTATAATATTATTAAAATATGAGCTGCCAAGTTTGTGCATGTTGATTAACTAATGTATCAAAATGCAGATACATCCGCTCAGGGTCAGCCCAATTTTGGATTAAGTTTTTTTTAAAATGCTTATAAGTACATTCATTTAGTTATTAATTTAGAACACAGCACACATAAAGAAGTAATAATTGCTGACTTTCTACCTGTTTTAATGTAGGTATCTAAAAAACGTAAAAAATGTATCTTTTAAGCGTTTTTTGAGCGTTCTCGATCTTTAACCGACGATTTCTTCCTGATTATTGACCCAAACACTTTTTATAAATGCAAATTTGTGATCTTCTTACGTCGAAAGGAATCGATTGAGCTCAAAAAACGCGCATGTGAAATTTCGATTTTTGGCCGAAATTTTTCCAAGGGTGAGGGTCGATTTTTTGAAAAAATGAAATTTTTTTCAAAAAGTCTTAAATTTTGCATAATTTTCAGCTCACGGACGCGAGGAATGCCTCTAACGCATTTAAAATGATGGTAGAAGTTTCAGATCAGAAATAATAGACATTTTAGGCA